TTTGGGAGTGCTCCTGGATGCTTCCTTGACAATGGAGGCCCAGGTAGCAGCCACTGCCAAGGCAGCCTTTTACCATCTACGGCTGATTAGGTAGTTGGTCCCCTTCCTCGAATGCAATGATCTGGCGTCAGTGATCCACGTGATGGTCACCTCGAGGTTGGATTACTGCAATGCTCTCTACATGGGGCTGCCCTTGGGGCAACTTCGGAAGCTGCAGCTGGTGCAGAATGCCGCAGCTAGGTTGTTGATGGGTGCCCCTATGAGGGAACACATCCAACCGGTGCTGAGGGCGCTGCACTGGCTGCCAATAGCGTTCCAGATACGCTTCAAGGTGCTGGTTATGACCTTTAAAGCCCTTTATGGTCTGGGGCCTGTCTACCTGCGGGACCGCCTTTCCCCGTACGTTCCCCCGAGAGCACTGAGATCTGAGTCGCAGGACCGGCTAGTCCCCCCTGGCCCTAGGGATGCCAAACTAACAACTACTAGAACTAGGGCATTCTCCTTGGCTGCACCAATATTATGGAATCAGCTCCCTCATGAGATCCGCGCTCTCCGGGATCTCTGCCAGTTCCGGAGAGTGGTGAAGACGGAGCTATTCCACCAAGCATTTAACAACCCAGACTAAGCATGATAGCACTTTATAGTTGCCGCCATGGATATGTTGTACTGAATGTAAATTACGATTTTATTGTACTGTTATAGATTGTTTTAGAGGTATTGTTTTATTGGTTTTAATGTTGTAAGCCGCCCTGAGCCACTTCGGCGGGAGGGCGGGATAAAAATCAAATAAAGAAATAAATATGGGGGGGAAGATTCTCGGGGTATAAGCTTTCAAGAGTCAATGTCTCCTGCATCAGACACCTTTGTCAGATCATGATTGCAAAGTTCTCCTGGTCTGAGTCATCCCTGTCTCCCCCACCCTAAATTGGGGAAGCAAATGGCAACCTGAGATAGCCCAATACAATGGGAAGAGCAAGCCTCACTCAGATATAGCCACGGGTACAAAATTAACTCAGCCACCTGCCAGTAATGGTGGGCTAACATAATAAGGGTCAATAAGAAATTTCAACAGGTGATTGTTCTAAACCTCCCCCTTCCCACCTTTCTTCCCCCCCCCTCAAGGAGGACGAATATGTGGTTCAAACTGAGCACGATTTGGGACCCATCCTACTCGTCCGGCTGCACAAGGAACCCTACAGCATCTTCCCACAGACCAACTGGAACTGCAGCTTCGTAGAAGTGGCAGGACCCCGGGAAGAAGTTTATCGGTTCCCCTGCTACCAATGGATTGTGGGATACACAACCCTGGAGCTCAGAGAAGGAGCAGGTGGGAACTGTGGCTCAGTGGTAGAACATCTGCTTGACACACAAAAGGTCCCGGGTTCAATCCCTGACACCTCCAGTTGAAAGGGCCAGGTAGTAGGTGATGTGAAAGGTCTCTACTGGAGACCATGGAGAGCCACTGCTAGTCTGAATAGACAATACTAACAGCTTCAGGCAAGAGACTTGGCTCAGTAGTAGAGCCTCTGCTTGGCATGCAGAAGGTCCTAGGTTCAATCCTCAGCATCCCAAGTTAAAAGGACCAGTGAGTAGGTGATGGGAAAGACCGCTTCCTGAGACCCTTGAGCAGACAATACTGACCTTGATGGACCTATGCTCTGATTTAGATGCAGCCCATTTTTTGAGTTTAACACATTTGGTTACATCAGCTGATTTAGTATAAAGCAGCTTCAGGCAAGAGACTGTGGCTCAGTGCTAGAGCATCTGTTTGGCATGCAGGAAGTCCCAGGTTCAATCCCTGGCATCTCCAGGTAAAGGATCAGAAGCAGTGCTGGCTCAGACCAGTGGTCCATCTAGTCCAGAATCCACGTTCATATAGTGACCGACTAGGGGTGTGCGGGGAGGGGGGGGATTTGTGGGGTTTTTTTCGGATTTGGGTTTAATAAAGCCAATTTTTTTTCAGGATTCCCGAATAAACCCTAACCAATGCCGGTATTCCCAAAAATTTTCAGCTCCATTATATCCTATGGGGCCATTGTAGTCAATGGAAAAATCTTCTAACAAGTATTCAGGAGGCTGATGGGGAGGGGGTTTGAGGTATAGACACCAAATTTGTACTGTAGCTGCTGGAGCCTCTCCCCAAAAGACACCCCAAGTTTGGAAAAGATTGGACCAGGGGGTCCAATTCTAGGGCATCCAAAAAGGGTGCACCAATCCTCCATTGTTTCCTATGGGGATGGGGAAAAGGCAGGCAGCAGCGTCTCCCCAAGAAAACTGGGAAAAAATGAAAATGTTCAGGGGTTTTTCGGCATTCAGTATTCTCAGAGGATCTTATTCGGTATGCCAAATACCCGAAAAATGCCAGAAAAGTTTTTCCCGGGTTTGTTTTCGGTTCGGCTTTACCGAATGCACACCTCTATGGCCAACCAGATGCCTGGAGAAGACTCATAACACCGGACATAGATGCCGAAGCATCTCTTTGCTGTTGTGCACCCAGTACTGGTATTGAGACCTTTACTGCCTCTAAGCATGAAGGTTCCTTTAAGTCATTAAGAACAATGGCTACTGGCTAGTGTGGCTCGCTGTCCTGCTATAGCCTTCCACGCTGGAGCTCCCATTACCTGCCACCACTCAACAGGGCAGTGGGGGGAAATGGGGGCAATTCAACATTGCACCAATACCATGACGTCACTTACTATGTCACTCTATGGTTAAACCATAGATTTTTGGGTGAATCCTAGAGCGTCATGGACGCGGTTCATGTTGGAAGTGACATTTTCATAATGCCAATCAGGTATGTCCCTGCCCCCTGCAATCTCCTGCACTATGCTGGCAATGCTACCATAGACTGTCCTGGCCCCACTGCTGGACCTCCTGATGGCACCTGGTATTTTTGGCCACTGTGTGACACAGAGTGTTGGACTGGATGGGCCATTGGCCTGATCCAGCATTGGCTTCTCTTATGTTCTTATGATAGGAACACTCGGTCTGGGGCAAGGGGTGCTTTGTCTTCTTGGTGCTTGGGGGGGGGCAACAGTGGGAGGGCCCCACTGGTAGACCTCCTGATGGCACCTGGTATTTTTGGCCACTGTGTGACACAGAGTGTTGGACTGGATGGGCCATTGGCCTGATCCAGCATTGGCTTCTCTTATGCTCTTATGCTCCTCTGTGATCTCTGATCTCCTTCTAAAGTCAGCCAAACCGACGGTCATCGCAATATCCCGGGCTCTCATTGTCTTCCCTTGCTTTCTTCCAGCCAAAACCATCTGCAAGGATGCCGATAACCAGCTGCTTTTACGGCACCGGAAAGAGGAGCTCAGAGCCAAGCAGCAGGCCTACAGGTAGGTGAAGGGTCAAAGAGGCACAACACAGATCATGGGCCTTCCCCTGTCGCTCAAAGGTATGTTGCACCTGTGTAGGTGCCTGATTGCTCTGACCTGGCTGGCCCAGGCTAACCCGATCTTATCAGATCTCAGAAGCTAAGCCAGGTCGGCCCTGGTTAGTACTTGGAAGCAGGGGTCATTTCCTGCGGGAGTGCACAGGAGAAGAGCTCCGGCAGTAAGGAGCCCAGGGGGTGGGCACATGCAACAAGCCCCACCCCCTGCTCCCAGCAGCCCTCAGTCAGAGCAAGAAGCAGCCAGGTAAGTTGCAGAGCCCCACCTCCTCGGTCCAAAACAGTCCAGTGGCACCTTTAAGACCAGGTTTTATTCAGGTACAAGCTCTCCCTCCTCTGCAAGGACAGATCTGCACGTTCCTCCCCCCCCCAATAGCTAGCAATCCAGAACAGTTCAGTGGAGCCTGAGCGGTGGGTGTTGCCTTCTGACACACTTCCGGTGATGTCAGGGGTGTGTGGCGTATGCAAATAAGTTATGCTAATGAGTTATGCTAATGAGCTCCTGCACCTCTTTTCCCACGAAAGGACCCCTGCTTGGAAGGGAAACCACCACAGGAGCCCAGGGCTGCTGCACAAAGGCAGGCAAGGGCAGCCCACCTCTGTTTGTCTCTTGCCTTGGAGATCCTACAGGGCCGCCTTAAGTTGGCTGCGATTTGATGGCATTTTCCACCACCACATTCCTGATGCAGCTCAGGGCCATGCCAGGAAGGGGAAGTTAATCCTTCCATCTCCTCCACAGTTTTGCTAATCGAAGCTGGAGCTCCCCCATATTTATTTATTATTTCGATTCATAGCGCGCCCTCCCTGCAAAAGCGGGCTCAGGGCGGGTCACAGACAGGCATACACCCGCACATAAAAACATTTTTAAAACCATTTAAAACATTATACAACATTACAAAATTACGTATATAAAGTGCTCCAGATATTCCAATTTATCTTCCACAAAGATGACGAACTTACTGCTGCTCTACTAGCTCAGTGTCCTCTGTTCCGGACAATGCCGGCGTTCTTTGTTCCAGGGCCAGGTAATGATGGTACCGTAGTGGCGGCTCCTACTCAAACACCTGGCGGAAGAGCTCCGTCTTGCAGGCCCTGCGGAACTGCATTAGGTCCCGCAGGGCCCTGATCTCCTCCAGGAGCTCGTTCCACCAGGTAGGAGCCGCCACCGAAAAAGCCCTGGCCCTGGTAATGGCCAGCCTGGCCTCCTTCGGGCCTGGTATTGCCATGTTTTCATCAGCATTTTAAGGGGGAGATGTGCTTTTTAAAAGTCAGAGCCTTTCCTTTGATGGGCTCATAAAAGCACAGAGCACCTGGCTGGGTTACCTCCTCCTCTTCTCCTCCCACGCGGCCCCAATTAGAATCACTGCCCATGCATACAATTTACCTTTTGCAGGTGGATGGAGACATGTTACTTCCAGTGCTTCTTTCCTTCCTTTCTTTAAGTGATTTGTATCACACCTTTCTCCCCAATGGGGACCCAGCGTGGCTTACATCATTCCCCTCTGTTTTTTCCCCAGAACAACCCTGTGAGGTAGGTTACGCTGACAGCGTGTGCCTAGCCCAAAGTCACCCAGTGACCTTCCTTGGCAGAGTGTGCCTAGCCCCAAGTCACCCAGTGACCTTCCTTGGCAGAGTGGAGATTCGAACCTGGGCTTCCCTCCCTAGGCCTCTGGGTTGGTTAGCCAATGCTTTGGAAAGCCCCAGACCACCCCCACCATTCCATCTCCCTAACCCCCATCTCAGTTCTTCTTCTCCCTTGTGCGAACCAAAACTTGTGCGAATTTTCCCCTTCGAGATGCCGCCTTTTTATGTTTTGTGTGTACGAATGGCATGAAAACGTAAAAGCAAACTGATTGGGAATGGACTTACACAGGGCTTTTTTGGTAGAAAAAGCCCAGCAGGAACTTATTAGCATAATAGGCCACACCCAACAGCAGAAACTCATTAGCATATTAGGCCACACCCCGTGCCTTCCCTTCTCTTGCCCAGGCGCCCCATGGCTGTGAGGAGCCCGAGCAAGCTGGCCCATGAAAGGGAGGGGAGGCAGTTTAAACTGCCTTCCCTTGGCTTGGGTGTAGTGGGTGTGGCCAACTCTGAAGCTAGCCGGAACTGAGTTCCTGTGCGTTCCTGCCCAAAAATAGCCCTGGACTTACAGCTGATAACAGATAGCTCTGCTTCACACAACGGGTGGGTGACCTCTGGAACTCTCTGCCACAAGGTGCAGTGACGGACACCGGCTTAGGTGGATTTAAAAATGGGTTGAACAGATTGATAGAGGATAAACTTGACATCGGCTTCCAGGTTCGGTGGCAGAATGGATCTGATTGGCAGATGCTGGGGGATCAATCAGCAGAGGCTGGTTGCCAACAGGCCCTGTTTACAGGCTTCTGTGTGGCACCCAACTGGCCATTGTGGGAAATATCAGTCCAATCCAGCCTGGCTACTTTGTCCGTATTTCCTAAGGTTCATGACCAAGCAAAGGTACCGTTATCCAATCATTCATCTTTTGGCCTTCGGGGGAGTGTAGAGTTGCAGGCTCCGGGGTTGAGAAATACCTGGAGATTTTGGGGGTGGAGCCTGAGGACGGCGGGGTTTGGGGAGAGGAGGGACTTCAGTGAGGTACGATGCCGTAGAGCTTCCCTGTTGCCTGGAGGTCAGTTGTAACAGCGGTCAGCGTGTCGAGCCAAAGGGAGCGGCTTGACACTCTCTATAGGGAAACCTGTCTGTCTGTCTAGTGAACGGGTGTCTGTCTAGTGAACGGGTGTTTATGGTTATGAATGAATTCCGCAACGTTCTAAATTGCACGGTGTATTTATTATGCTAATATCCTGCATAAACAATTCTGCTAATTATCTGTCGAAAGCATCCAGTATTGCGCTTAGGGCTACCATTTATCCGGCAATCTCTCACCCTTACTGTTGGTAATCTCAGCAGCAGGAGGGGGTGGGATTAAGAGTTGGGAGGGAGGACTGGGTATAGGTTAATGTTCTAGGAATTTTTTGTTCAGGCAGACAGTTCTTCTGAGGACTGTGAGGCAGTGTTCCCTCTAAGCTGAGTTAGTGTGACCTAGCTCATAGTTTTTTAGCCTCTGGCTCACGCATTTTTGTCTCGGCTCAGGAAGGGATGGGGCTCCAGAGCAAACTGATTTATGCAGTAGCCAAATCACCTGCTCACAACTTGAATGCCAGTAGCCCACAAAGTAGAATTTTTGCTCACAAGATTCCACACCTTAGAGGGAACATTGCTGTGAGGTCCTTTTTGCTGCAGGTATAAAGAATTCCAGCCAGGCTGGCCAAAGTGCTTGGACGTGGACACCGTCGATCAACTGAACCTCAACGACCAATATTCCAGCACGAAGAGCAGCACCTTAGAGGTGAATATGGCTGCCGGGTAAGTCCCAGCAGAGGAGGGAAGTGTGTGGGAGTTCCTCGAACAGAGCTCCCCACCACAACTGTGATTCTCGAGCTCCACATTCCACAGCTCTGAATTCGGGATGTTCCAAGACACCCTTTTTATTTTGCTGTCATATGTCCGTTTCGGCCATTTTTGATGCTGGCTCTTGTTTTTTTAAAATACCATTGGCATGCTATATGCCACCTATATATGACTAAATAATCTGGACACACACGACCCAATCAGTTAAACAAGTATAAAGCCAACAGTCGTGATAGTCTGACCCACAATCAAACAGTCATAAGACTTATAAAGAATGCTGTTTATGTATTGCAATCTAAAGCACTACAACATGATACACAACTCAATGGAAAATCCTTGAACCAAGGTACATAATCAACGTCGTCTCCGGATTACTTAACAACGTTTCAAAAAATGGATCTTCTTCAGGAGATATTATACATACATACATACATACATACATACATACATACATACATACATTTTTTATTTCTATACCGCCCATGACCCCCAATGGGTCTCAGAGCGGTTTACACTGAACTACTTCTGTAGTTTGTTACCTGACTAGGGCCACAATTTTTCCGGGGAGGGGGTTACCTAACAGCACCCATGCGGCGTATTTCCTCCTCATCCGGCGGCTTCAGATGTCGTTCCCGGCTTCCCGGCGACTGGCGACCATCTCAGGCAGGCTCTGATGCTTCCTCCTCTGGCGCGCACTGCTTTCGGACTGCAGCTTCCGGCTATGCATCCTGTCTGGCTCCTGCCGTGCTGCGTTGTCTCGCAGTTGCATCGCCCCGCCTCCGCCTCCATCCGATCTGGTCGTCGCCGGATGCCGCCATTGTTCTTTTGCCGCCGCTTTTCTCGCCGCCGCCGTCAACACTCCTGGCACGGAACCAGGAGGAGGGTGCCCCCTGCCACCTAGGGCAGGTACCCATTTCTCTCAAATTGGGGGGGGGGGCAGTCTGGATCAGTTGGAAGAAGACTCTGGGCGGGACAAGTGGAGATGACGTTTACCATCACAGTCTTTGCCTAATGGGGGCTGGTGTGACTTTCACAGCTGGATGGCAGACAGGAATTCAACAGGCGAAACATTCCTTCTTTTGCATCCATCCAAGGGAAAGCTTTACGTATGGAACAGCTGCCAGTGGTGTGGTTCTTAAATGTGAAAGGGCCCTGCTGGTTTTTAAAAAGGTGCCACCCTGTTTTCCCACTTTCGGTATATCGTTTTCTCCTCCTCTCTTGCTGTCAGACAAGTTGAGCTGAAACTGAAAGGCCTGCTGGACTGCAAGAAGTCTTGGAATAAACTCGACGATATCCAAAGAGCCTTTTGGTTCTACCGGTCACCTGCATCAGGTTAGTAATCCACCTCTTCAGGTACTCTTGTTTTCCACTCCTGCCCATGAAACTAGACATTCTCAGGACTCAGCTGAATTCTTCCTCCAGTTAATTCATCCAGAATGGTTTTCCCCCCTGCTTTCTGCTTCTGTGCTCACGGCCCTCAGTGAGGACTAGAAACTCGGTTGCATATATCAAAAGGCATACATCAAAAAGGGGTGTCCACTATTGTGCTGCTTTTGAGAAACCACCATGGTAAGCACCAAAAGACGATTACCTCTCACGAGGTGATTTGGACTAGTTTCCTTCACCACTCCTACGGTTGCCAACCTCCAGGTGGGGCCTGGAGATCTCCCAGAATGACAACTGATCCCCAGACAAGGAAGACAACAAGATTCTCAGAAGGCTGATATTTTTTTCACCTCATTCTTGGTTCCCCCCCACCCTTGCAGAGAATTATAGCATCAATGTGGCCCTGAATATTAGTCCCAACATACAGTCTAGAGTGGTGGTGGGAGGGAAGCCATAAGGCTACAAGACCGTGACTTTCCCTCAAGGCCTCTCCCTGCAGCACGTCCACCAAGCCTGGCTCTCTCCCCTCCAAAGCCTGAGGGGGAAATTTGCCATCTCTGGTCCTTCCTGCACTTGGATCTCATCCCTGGTTTTGTCAGAGTTCAACTCGCGACACGATACCTTGCGTTTATCCCTGGTTAGAACAGCATCCGTTTATCCCGGGACAAGTGTGGGGTGAAACTGGGGTGACCTCAATGTAATGTGGAAACAAATAATAATAA